GAACATATGTAGTGAAGCTATCTTTAGATACCGTCGACAATTACTTTTAGCTTTAACTCAATACTTTTACTGACATTTGAAAAAAACGCTTTTACATTTGTCCCGCTTAACTCTACCTGTACCACGTGGTGGCGGTTAGGTTAGTATTAATACCGTACATTAAAAAACATCTTGCCCTGTTTAAATTAAAGATTTGAATAGAAAACAACTCTATGCAAACGAAACTCGATTTGTTACAACAACTTTTTAAATCGTTGTTTACCCAAAGTACTTGCTTTTGCAGGGTGGGTCACAATATTCTTTCAGCTGTGCGGTAGTACGCGACGGCCCATGATCTTAAGATTGTCTTAAGATACGTCATAGTAATATTATTATAAGGAAATATTGTTTAGAGGATTTTACGCTATCATCGCCGACACGACGACGTCGTGGTATTTTTTTATGTGCTGATCGATTTTTTAAAAACAAATCGTTGTATACGTTAACTCGTCACCGGTCTTGTGCAAGTACTTATATACTTGGAAATATATACACACAAGGTTAGGTTAAGTAGGTTAGGTTAGGTTAGGTTTACATACAAGTCTGCGCGGGGAGGCCGTAAAGTCACGGAAAATATTGTCACGGACCGTACGAATTCGGAATCTAAAAAATAAAATATTATTATTATTATTAAAATATTATCATTTTTATTGAAACTAATTTTTCATTTAATAAATGATTAATATTATAATATCTGAAGCACTGAATAAAAATTAGCAAAAATAAGAACAATACATTTTTTAATTTATATTGAAATTCAACATCAACATTTAATTTATTATTTATAGAAGTATAATATAAGTATTCGCTCCACTCTAAAAAAGTTAAAACTATAGATTTTGCTATATTTTTTTTAATTAATACTACATAATGAATAATAAAATTATTTTAAAATTTTTAATTATGAACATTTAGTAGGATGAACTGTTGGTTAGCCATCTAAAAAAAACCAATTTATGGATTTAAATATATGGATCAAAAAAATATGAATGTATTATTAACTTATCTATCAAATATGTCACGACACCATGGCCGGCGTAGCCGGGCACCCCCCTCAGAACCGCTGTGTACTGACATATAACATACTACGTTTGAACAAATTTTGTTTCACAAAGGTAAACCATGACATTTAGCCGACTAACCTCTAGACATCTTTATCTGTATCTCTAGTTTTATAAATAATAGTTGTCTCAAAAGTCCGGGGGAATGTAAATATACTCTGTACTTGTATGTACAATAAGTCCCATGAAATAGTACAAACAAGTCGTAGTTCATACATTTATGTTGTCACAACTTTTGTGTAAAGTGTATACCATAGGTTATATATAAGTCTATAAGTTAAGTTTACATATGTTAAAATAGAAAGTATTCCAAAAAATAAAAAGCGATTAGCCAAAATGAAAAAAAAATAAAGGATATATTAAATCACTCCTCAAATGGAAAAATTGTTCAAACTCGGTAATTTTAAACAAATATCAATTACTATTATTTTTAACTATAACTTGACTTCTATTACAGGTACATTCACCTTTAAGAAATTAATAGTTTTTTGCATTTCACTGTTTTGGGTGTAATTTTTGGGCTTTAAACCTGACAATTAACCGAGGCGATTTTGAATTTAGATTCTATTATTTTAATGTTATAGGCCCTATAATATAGGGTAATGATACTGCCGAATTATTTACGGCGATAATAAGTCCGAAAATAATGTCACTGAACGTGTTTTAGCTGACACTTCTGTGCCGGATGCACTGTATCGGAAAAACGACAAAAGGTCGCCCGACAAAACGCCGCCGGACAAAAAATCGACAAAACGTCGCCGGATAAAAAATCGACAAATCGCCGCCCCTAAAAAAACCGCCTCTCAGTAATGCCAACACTAACAATACTTGTATACAATATACGATTATTAATGGTGTTAGTTGTGCTGCCAGCATGACATATTATTAAGGAGTAATTATTAGCTAACGACTCAAACGAGGCTGTTTTTAAAAAATATTTCCAGATGGCATTTTGAAAGAGACAAAAAGTCCGAACGTATATTTTTCACCACCAAAAAGACGATATTTTATTATCTCTAGAAAACTGTTTACCTGTTATTGAACTGTTATCTTTGTTTATTTTATAAATGCGTGTAGGTATCACCTATAATCTATATATTTTTAGTACGTATTGCAAAGTGTATAGGTACAAAATGGAAGTTAATGTTTTAAAGTTGCCGCGCCGGTTGAATTACCTGCCAAATATACCTTCTTAGGGACGAAAGTATACGCAGCCCTGTTTTACTTCGTATATTTGTTATTCTTTATTAGTATTAAGTAAAATTATATTATTATTTATTAAAAAATGGTCTTAACAATGGCGGTTCTAAAAAAAAATATGAAATAACATTTAACCACTTTTTGTATCCATTGCATTTTTTTTTTATAAATATATTCATTTAAAAGTATTCTTATTTTTGCGTATATATTAGTTTTAAAATTTTAACATAAGAACATTGAGAAAATTAAAAAGTAAGGGAAAAAAAATGACTAATTAGTTCTTGTGCGTGTACATTTTGTTTTTGTAAAGTCAGTCGGCCGAATGGACTTGGGAACAATGACCTCGCTACACCCTTGGCCAGAAATTAAGTTAATTTGTTGTGTGTGAATTTTATTCACAATTGTATTTTGTTTAGTTAACTGTTTGTTGCACCGGTGAGGCAATTCTAGTTTAAGTACTAATGATAACCGAAAAAGGAACTTTTTAAAATTATTAAAGTTTTCAAATTATCAACATTATACTTACATTACACATTTGACACTACAGTAACTCTTTGGTATTACTAGGCAACCCCATTCATCCCTTTTGAGCTACTATATACACCATTACACTTCCTTTGCTTTACAGCGTAATCGTTAAAGCTGATAGAATTAAATTCCGATAGTAAATATACAGTAGTACAGTGGATATAAAAAAGTAATATAATATATTTTATTTATTTTGTAAAATATTTCAAGATTATCCTATTATACAAAGAAGTATTTTATTGGGATGCTATAAAAAAGCCGAAAGTATTTGGTCCGACCATAATTTTACCGAAAATTATTATAGCTGAAAAACATTAACGCCGAAAATAATAGTTCCGAAAATATTTTCATCGAACAATTTTTAAGCCGAAACATGTATTAACCGAAAATATTGAAACCGAAAAGATTCACGCCGAAAATAATATCGCCGACCGTATTTTAGCCGACACTTCTGTGTCGGGCGCATTGTGTCTGCGCATGCGCGTTATTTTGCCGCCCAGTGCCGATCCACCGGTGACCGGCCACCGCGTCCGCGGTATGTTTATTCTTCTACCTGCAGTGGTACCGTACGGTGACTTGCTTATTCGGGTTTTTTTTAATAATTTTTTTTTTTTTTTTTAATATCTTTATATTTATTAGTTGGGAAAAATTTAATATATTTTTAGTCACTCGACTAATCTGTTTTTTCCCTAGTTCGAGCGCATAAAAGATACAATACGTCAATACAAATAATTTGATACCAAAATCTAATTTTCAAAAAAAATTTACATTGATCTTTTTCCCGCAGCCCTTTATATTAATATATATACTATACTATTTATATTCGTTGATAGGCATAATATTTGATTTTTACGAGTATGAATATTCATTAAAAAAAAAACTCATTTATCATTATACAACACTTCCAAAATTATATGGAGTCGATTCTGGGTCCTCTATATTGATGTCTTGTTCCCTGAGGATTCGGGAGATGTAGTCACTTTTTGATCTGCTAATACCTTCAATATTGATTTGGCAAATGCGTAGGGTAGACCCTAGCTTTCTTAGGTGGCCTGAGAATCTTTCGATTCGATTGTGTTCGGTTTGGTTGCATGTAATCAGGCCAGGAGAACGTTATAAATGATAGTTTGGCCACTGAGTTAATAGATCTTTAGCCGTTCGTCTTGAGAAGATGAACGTTGCCCAGGGGGTACCACGAGGAGGCGATCTATCACAACCCCCTATTTTTACAATTTACAATATTTACGCTATTTACACTTATTATTTACAGAATTAATTTTATATACAAAATAATATTTACACAATATGATGCTAGTCAAAAATTCTGACAATCATATAGATGTCAGAATTGCAAATGGGACAACGCCCTCTGCCCCTCACATCCTCACCGCAATCGTGGCATAAACATTTGTGCCCACACGGAATGCAAGCATGTGTGTTAGTGGCTGCCAAGCAAATGCCACAACTGTTTATTTGTCGCGGTGTTATATCCTCATTCAAATTAGCCGAAACGAATGGAATATTATCTTGCTCCCTTCTCAAACGTTGTCCTTCCATTTGCCCGATAAACGCGAGAACTTCGTCGTCATCCTCAGGTATGTGATAGTCATCATTAACTATTAACACAAATAAATTAAAATATAAACGGATTATCAACAATAATATTAATGGTCATAAAAATTATTATTAATATGATATGGACAAAATATATTTTTACAGGGTATCCTTTTTTATTATTTAGGTGTACGAGTCATTTTATTAGTTTTTTTTTAAATTTAAATATTGCATGTTTAATATTTCCTTTTTCTTATATATAATATAATGTATTGCCATTAAGAAATATGTTGTATACTATTATAATTGTTAACAAATTGTTTTTAATATTTCTGTTCAGAGCCTTACTGGGAAGAATGGCGTTATTATCTTGGACAGCTTGAACAGCCGGAGCAGCCTCAACAACAAAAGCAGCCTCAACTACAGGAGCAGCCTCAACTACAAGATCGGCGGCAGCTTCAACAACGGGAGCATTTTGCTCCTCACCATCTCCCAATTCTAAATTTTAAGTTAAAATAAAACAACTTTATTTATAACCTGTTATATTCCTTATTAAAAAAATTTAGTTTATTAAGGTTTTATTTTTAATTGTAGCATAACGGGCCACGAAGGCCCAACGTGCAATCATGAGATGATTTCTTGATGAATTCGCTATCCGGGACGGATCGCCAGTCCGTCGCCTGAGAGGAGGATGGTATTTTACCGGACGGTTGCTCGCCTGGCAGTCTTTATTTAGTACTATTGTCGGTATACCTATGTTATAGGCCAAGTGGCCTGTGTAGGAGAGAAATTCCTTAACAGTAAGGCAGCCTTGCTCCAGCCTTTCAGTCGCCGCTCTTATGTTCTGTCCTGCTGCACATATAGTGGACGACGTGGCCTTAAGGTGGGGCGCTCCAACTGCTGTTGATATTTTTGGCTATAAATACCCTCAATTTTCAGGAGTACCTCTGTAATTAAAAAAAAAAAATTATTTCTATAACTAATTAACTATTTTGTAGCAAGTATTTCGATTTACTTGTAAAATTCCAAATTCCCGGTCTTTGTTGTATTCATTTGTTGGTTTAAAATTCTGTGAAAGACCTCCTGATCATTGTTTGTCCTCCTGGCCTGTCCGTAACGCTAAAATTCTGCGCACCGGTTCCTATAGTAAGTATTATACAATGAGATAATAAAAGAAAATTTTTTGTAAAAAATAATATTTTTTTGCTTAGTTTTTTTTAACCCCAGAGCATTTCATATACATAAAAATAAATTCAGTATTTTGGAGTCGAGAGCGTTTTAAAAGTTTATAGCTGTGATTGCCGGAGAGATGGCGGCTTCTTTTAACCAGACGATTTTTTGCCCGGCAACAGTGAGTGCCAAACACACTAATGCCTTACCCACTCTGCCATTTCCTCTCCACTATGTACAAAGGTAAATTAATTATTTTTTAAATAACTATTTTCTCATTTTTGAGGATATATTAGGTATTGTTTGTAATAATTAACTATTTATTATTATCAAGCATCTTTATTTCATATAGATGTACGCATTTCACTTTTATGTTAGTATTGAGAGAAAATCAAACAAAATCAAATTGTTTTTTTCTTTTGTTAGTATTACAACTGGGGGAGGGGGAGGCTTCTGTACAATAATTATGAATCTTATTAATTTAGGTAAATTTAATGAATATTATATCCATAATAATACAAAGTGATTTGAAAAACTGTTTTCTAAGGTTTGCAGTACTAAACACTTACGGTTCATCCACTGGTTCTCGAAGTAATTAATATATCGACGAGCTATTTGTTCGTTTTCCGCGTGACTACTCTCTTCTTTGATCAGGTTAAAACCCTCGGCTATGTGCTCGACCGGTAAAAGGGCCAGAGCCTTCGACATGCGGAACATGTTATGCAATGCCAAGTCGTTACGATATTCACGTCGCCGCATGCCAAACTCTTTACCATTTTTCTAAAGTGCCTATAAATTACCATAAACATTTTTAAATGGCAACACACGATGCTATATTTTTTAGCACCAGAAATGATGAGAGAATTATTAAAAACATTTTTCATACTTGCACCATGTGGAACCAACAGCGCTGCAGGTTGGCAGCTGGCAGAGTATTCCTCAGTGCATTGGTTAATGCGGTTTCATAGTCAGTAATGATGTTTGTTGCTTGAATACCGCCTGGAATAAGATCCCTTACTTATTCAAGCACGCACCGGTACGCGATCTCGGTCTTCCTTGTCATCAACACAAATGCAACGGAAAAGCCTAAGTAAACGTATAAATAAAAATGCTAATCGTAAACTCATAAAAATCGTTTTTTAAATTTATTATATATTTTCTATTACCTGATCCATGTAAATGGCCATAATAATTAAAACTTGTTCAGTTTGAGGCTGAATAGGCCTCGATTTGAACGTGCCATCTTCATGTAATTCATGTGAACTGCCTAATAAACTAAAATTACATTTAAGCTATAATATTGTCTATAAAAAAAATCATCTAGGTAAGCAATTATATATTCTAATTTGTGAAGATTGGTATTAAAACTATTTGCTATTGGACTGATATTAAATATGCTGCTGTACTTGTCCACAAAATATTACAAGCAGCTATCTGAGCGCACAGTAGTGTGCTAGGCCAAGTTTCAGTAATGCCAGTTTATCTTTAAACGAACCAATTCACCCAGTTTTTCTAACTCACATGTCTCTGATTCCTCTTAAGATAAGCTTTTGAAATGTAAATATCACTACTTTGATATTTAGTCTTGGAACTTGGCCAATTTTCTCTGTTAGGTTTTTGTTGGAGATAATTCATAATAGTTAATTGAAAGAAATTAATTTATACAAATTTTAATCGTTTTTCTTTAAAATAAGTTATATATTTTTTTTAAATACTTAAGAAATATGTTTTTGGGATCAAAGGCAATGTTTTCTTTGTAACACATATTTTTTCATTGTTAATTAAATGATTACTTCATCATTGCAGGCGAAATGAAAACCACTGCTTCGCCAGCTTCTACACCTCCATCTATGTAGCCCCTATACAACTCCTCGTTGCTAGACGTTAAAAATAGATGCCGGTACCTCGGGTCGGACAAATTGCCCGCATATCCCAAGAGAGTCTGGGGTATCGATGGCTGAGTCTCGGCCCTGGCCCGTTCCATAGTTCGCAATAAGCTGGTGTACGCCAATTGAGTGTTAACATGGTTTAATCTAAGTATAGAATATGTAAGTCTTGAACTACTAAATAATTATGCTTATGCTGAGCTGATTGATTTGAGAACTTAATTTTAATATTAAGTGTTCTTATATTTAAAAACGGTAGGACTTTCATTAAGTATTAAATACTTTCTGTTCAATAATAATAAAACAAATTTTGTTTTATTATTATTGAACAGAAAGGCTTACGAAATACGTTTATAGGTATACAGTTATTTAGTGTTCTATGAAAATATACTAATAAGATGTATAAAATAACTTTTTAATATGCATTTTAATGACCACAAGCGTTTGTGGCTTCAATTACAGGGTAGGCAATATATAACAATATATACATATTACTGTGTTATTTCTTCATCATAAATGACTTTAAGACTGGTCAATTCTGTTGAACAACGATGAAGAATTTGGCTTTTTACACGTACAGCGGACAATCCATATCAGGATATCCAGATATTCCATATCAGGATCATGATTATGAAGTCCGATCACCTCAAATCTATCATTCCTGATAAGTCCTTTATATAATAAAAAAATTACAATATTGTGTTAAGAAGAGTTTAATGTTATAAATTGTTTTCAGCCTTAAGAGGATTAAAAGCGGACTGGTTTTTTCGAAGTTTTAGACCTAAGATCATGACAAAATTACGCCTACGTAGAATGTCCAATTTGAATTTTATATAAAAAATGTCAAGTTAATCGTCCTCTTTTCAAGGTTATTGTGTGAATCATTTTATATTTCAATTAAAATTGTGTTTAAATCCTATTTTAATTTCTTAAGTTTTTAGTATCCTTTATATTGTTTTATTAATCCGACTTCCACGGTAACCTAGGGAAAAAGCTCATGAGCCCAAATATTTATACAGAATTAAAATTCAATCACATTAAGTAGGCATAGTTTTGTCAAGATTTTAGGTCTTAAGGGGGGATTACATGCGGTCAATTTTTTCAGTCAAAACATCATTTTTATTCAATTGCATAAGCCAACACGGTGATCCGATAAACAATCTAAAAACAGATTTGAATTCGTCATGAAGTTTACTTAGGATCGTTCAGGGCACACTTTCGGTTTTTAATTTAAACCCTTTACCTTTACCCTTTTAAAATTTGAAATTTTTTATAATATTCAAACGGGCTTTGTACATAGTAGGAATAAGATTTTAAAAAAGTGCCCTGACCGATGAAGTAAACTTCATGGCAAATTCAAATATATTTTCAGATAAATTATCGGACCACTGGTTCAGCCTGTGCGATGGAACAAAAAATGTATACTATATTAACTAAAATGTCTTTACTCATAGACAAAATGATTTAAATTAAAAATAACACCATGAAGCTTATACAAATTAACCGGTAAATTAATTGACATGGTCAAAATTTATTAAATAATTTTTCCTAAATATTGCCTATACAAAATTCCTTAAAAACCGACCGTATGCAATTCCCTTAATTAATTTCTTGTATGTACAAAATGGCATTTACTCGGAGAATAAATTGTAAAAGTTAAAAATGATGCCTCTAGCTTTTACAAAGTAACCTGTAACTAAATAAAATGTTCGAAAAGTTGCTTTTTTCTTAAATATTGCCTTTTATAAAACCCCTTAAAAACTGTCCGCTTTCAATCCCTTTAATCATTGTTATATTTTATACCAAATCGGATTATAAAAAATTATTATGAATATAAATACTAATTGCCACAAAATATTCATGATAGTTAACCCATTGATCAATTTTTGTAAATTATCATATTAAAATCTATAAATTGTACTAGGGCAACTCATGGTGCTGGCCTTTTTTCTTTGAAAAATAGTGTTATTTTCTAAAAAAAATCAAATAAAACGGTTTTTATTTCAAGCCTTTTAAAAGATATTTTTCTAATTAAGTGGAGTATTACCTAATTAAAAAAAATCTTCTGTTGAGTTATACTTAAATGGTACACTGCTTTATTGTGTATTCGTAAAATAAGTACGATTACATCTAACTACTAATTGCTTCAGTTTTCCATTTATAATCGGGTTACAAATAATTCATATTGAGAAAAAAAGATTAATTTTCTAAAATAATATATAGCAATAAATCATACCTCTCGCAGTGCAGTTGGGTTTTATACAACTTAGTGAGGTAGACGATAGCCTCACTTTCTTTACGCGGTAAAAATAGCCATCATTACTATGATGTAGCTTACTATTTTTACGAAATCCGTCGACAACTTCGTATTCCATTTTTAACCAACGAAAAGTACAAAAAGAAAAATAGGATTTTAGGAATTGCCTGAGCTCTCGATAAAAACCGAATGAACCCAATGTAAGTATGAACTTGGTTGGTTGGTACTTTTTTTTTTTTTTTATTTATATATAATTTATATAAGTAGGTATGTATGTTACACAATCTTTAAACATTAAAACACAAAATGTTAACAAATGGCTAACCAAACACCTTCACTCAATGGCACCTCATTATGAAGCGGAAGAACTATCAATAATTTTAAATGCTTTAACATTTACAACCATATATGGACTACAGAAAAAAGATATTTTACATGAGTTTATCACATATTAACATAATTAACCTTGAAGATATTGTTTGTCCTCGCATAGATCAATTACACTCTGATGATGGATACCCAACGTGTTTATTTCACATGAATTTAAGCCCTAAACAACACTGTACTTTTTATAAAATGTTTACATTACGCAATTGGTTTTAAACAATGCATTACCTTGTATATTATTATCAATGTATTTTAGTTAAATAAAAAACATTTTTTTTTGTTTAGCAATTAGTACTGTATTTATTAACATTACGGTTATTGTATATTATTATACACACATTATCAAGAATAATATGATTTTAACCAGATGGTTTTACATAATATTTTTTTTTACATTAGATATTATAACAATTTTTATAAAAAAAAATTTTATAATGTTAACTTTGAAGTTATTACAATGCAATGGGGTGGAGTTTGTATTTAAATGGCTTTTATTCATCTATTTACACCACATCACATCAGAAGTGGGAGGGTTCGCCTGCGCAAAACTGAAGGTGTGGTGCAATAGGTACGACAATACAAAAATGCTTAAAGGGACAAAAAAAAAGAATACATGTATATTGTAGTATGATATTGGCAGTAATGCCCTTCAAACGGCAGTGTTGGGCGTAACCGATTAATTTATTATTGGATTACGTAATCGATTACAGCATTGTAATCATGATTAAATTAATCATTAATCATTTTATCATTTTGTAAAAGTAATCAGTAATCATGATTATATTTTCAATTGTAATCATGAAAACATTACAAAAAGAAATTGTTTAACCGCCCCAGGCTTATTACAAAATAATAATAATTGTCTAGATGATATTGCAAAGGTCAAATCGTCTTAGACATCCCATATATTTTTTTTGATATATGTATTATGTAATACATAAAACCTATGGCGGTTAAAAAAATATAATCATTAATCATTTCATGATCACATTTGAAAGATTAATGTAATCATAAATGTAATCATGATTACATTTATATGATTGTATTAATCTAACACGATGATTACTGATTACTATTATTTATCGTAATAATTAAACAGATTACATTTGCCCAACACTGTCAAACGGTAGTCGGTAGCCGAAATGTCGCCGGCTTTTCCCACTGGCCCGGCCAGTGACATGCGAGTAAGGTTCATGAGCAACTTGTAGAATGGAGCGAGGTTGATAGGAGATCGCCACAAGAGTGTCTGCGCCACCTCTCAATGCGCCAACAAGAGGCGGCCGGAGGAGAGTGACGACGGATGAGCTAAAGGGTCAAGTACCCAGGACATAAGCAGTGGTGGTTGGACCGATAAAACCGGAGAACTGGAGATTAAAAGCATTTGGCGGACTAGAGGTAGAGTGGTAGGAGGTATCGAAGTCGGAGAAGATGCGGCTAGAGTGGGAACCCCGGCGACCAAAATAAGGGCCTAGTCGGCTTTGATGTGCCGGTATCAAAGCCAGGCCAAAAAGTACATGCACCATTTTATACCCTGTTCGCTAAGAGAGCATGCTGGGTTTGCGCGTGTAGACTGAAGACTAAGCCTGGCAGACAGGGCGGACTTCGGGGGAAACGTTAGTCACACTTGGTGCCACGGGGGGGGTGCGCAGAACGGCCAATTTTCGTTGGGTTGCGGCATGTGACTAACGTTCCCCCGTAAGTCCGCTCTGTCTGCCTGCCTTAGTCTTGCTACTTAGTCTTCAGTCTACACGCGCAAACCCGGCATCAGTGTTGGGCGTAATCGTAATCACACCTTAACATTTTCATGATTATAAACGTAATGGTAGTTATGATTACGATTTTGCCCAACACTGCCCGGCATGCTCTCTTAGCAAACAGGGTATAGAACGGTGCATGTACTGAGATCACTAGAGTGATCTCTAACGCCTACGGCGCCCCCTGGTTCTTCTTGCATAATGTTCGGGACTTTCTTTGGACTCCACCCAGGGCAGATGGCACTGGTGCCCGAGGTGCCCGAACTCCTTGCACCTCATACAAGCATGCTGCCTCCTCTGAAAATTATCAAAAAATTGTTTTATTAACAACTTTCCAGGGTGTAATCAACTCTTAAAACTCAGGTTCCATGTATAAATATTTGATAAACTTTTTAGATAAGCGATAATTTGCTTAAAAATTTTTGAAATAACAATAAATATGTAATAAATATGGAGAGGGGAAGGAGAATTTTACAACTTTACCGCACTTAACTAATTAAAAGAGCCAATAAAATATACATAGATGTTACCATTTAAATTTTAAAAGTTGATAGAGCTCTGAGAGAAAATCAGAAAGATACATATTTGAATACGACCTCATATTGTAAAATAACATAAACAAAAGTTTTCAATTGAAAAACTACAAAATTCGAAATAGTTTAATAGAAATTGATTGTCTTATCCATAATGAATCTTCCAGTATAGTCGATTAAATGTCCATGCATTCTAGGGTCGTATTCCCATAGTATCTCATTAAACGACAAATTTTTATTTTTGGTACTTACCTCTTCTCTAACCAACATTTCCATATAACGTCGCTGAAAAAACAAAATAAAGAAAAAATTGATATAATTGTATATTTTAAATTTACCTGTGGTCTAATTTTCAGATTTTTTAAACCCCAAAAACTTCAATTTAAAAACAAAATAAAGAAAAATTATCCAACCCTTTTAAGAAAATTAGTTAATAAGCATTTATGGATTGTAAAAAGAGGGGGAAAAATTGACTATACCTTAGTAATTGAATTACTAAAAGACTTACCAAATCCGGCCTTGGTCCTTGTGGGACCTCTTCGTCCTCCATATCAACTCTTCTCTGTTCTTCTCCCTAAACGCAAACAAAGCTAATTAATACATTATTTAAATATATGCAAAAAAAAGACACAAGGTAATAATATTTCTCTACTCCAGTTTTGGCATATTTATTTTTATATTACAACTATAATACAGTACCCAGCTGTGAGTACCACAGCTTATAAGGCGAACAGTCGCCAAAAGTTTATATTCCACGTAGGGATGCAATCGATAAGGCTTTAAGTTCATACAATATATTTCAGTATTTCAGACTTACTGTGATTGCTTTTGGTTCATTTGGGCGCGGTTCTACATTATGTTCCTCTCCCTAAACGCAAACAAAACTAATTAATACAATATTTAATTAAATGTAAAAAAAAAACCCAAGGTATTAATATTTCTCTACTCCAGTTTTGGCATTTTTAGTTATTTTTTATCACCACTGTAATAGACTACCACAGCTCATGGGGCGTACAATCGTAAAAAAATTGTATTTCACGTAGGAAAGCGATTGATAAGGCTACTAGTCTGTAACCTGTAGATTTAGGATATTTTTAGTTCAATAGAACGAAGTGTGGTACCAGGAAAGCCAGTGGCAAGAAAAATTATCCAACCCTTTTAAGGAAATTAGTCTATAAGCATTTATGGATTGTAAAAAAGGGGGAATAAAATTTGGCCATAGTCAATTTCTAGTATTTTAGACTTACCAAATCCGGCGTTGGTCCACGTGGGACCTCTTCGACTTCCTCTTCGTCTACTCTGTGTTCTGTTGTTAATATAGGTTCATTTGGGTGCGGTTCTACATTATGTTCCTCTCCCTAAACGCAAACAAAACTAATTAATACAATACTTAAATATATGTTAAAAAAAACCCAAGGTATTAACATTTTTCTTCTCCAGTTTTGGCATTTTTAGTTATTTTTTATCACAACTGTAATAGACTACCACAGCTCATGGGGAGTACAATCGTAAAAAATTGTATTTCACGTAGGGAAGCGATTGATAAGGCTAATAGTCTGTAAGTTGTAAATTTAGGACATTTTTAGTTCAATAGAACGAAGTGTGGTATCAGGAAAGCCAGTGGCAAGAAAAATTATCCAACCCTTTTAAGGAAATTAGTCTATAAGCCTTTATGGATTGTAAAAAAGGGGGAATAAAATTTGGCCATAGTCAATTTCTAGTATTTTAGACTTACCAAATCCGGCTTTGGTCCACGTGGGACCTCTTCGACTTCGTCTTCGTCTACTCTGTGTTCTGTTGTTAATATAGGTTCATTTGGGTGCGGTTCCACATTATGTTCCTCTCCCTAAACGCAAACAAAACTAATTAATACAATACTTAAATATATGTAAAAAAGAAACCCAATATATTTATATTTTTCTTCTCCAGTTTTGGCATTTTTAGTTATTTTTTATCACCACTGTAATAGACTACCACAGCTCATGGGGCGTACAATCGTAAAAAATTGTATTTCACGTAGGAAAGCGATTAATAAAGCTACTAGACTGTAACCTGTAGATTTAGGATATTTTTAGTTCAATAGAACGAAGTGTGGTACCAGGAAAGCCAGTGGCAAGAAAAATTATCCAACCCTTTTAAGGAAATTAGTCTATAAGCATTTATGGATTGTAAAAAAGGGGGAATAAAATTTGGCCATAGTCAATTTCTAGTATTTTAGACTTACCAAATCCGGCGTTGGTCCACGTGGGACCTCTTCGACTTCCTCTTCGTCTACTCTGTGTTCTGTTGTTAATATAGGTTCATTTGGGTGCGGTTCTACATTATGTTCCTCTCCCTAAACGCAAACAAAACTAATTAATACAATACTTAAATATATGTTAAAAAAAACCCAAGGTATTAACATTTTTCTTCTCCAGTTTTGGCATTTTTAGTTATTTTTTATCACAACTGTAATAGACTACCACAGCTCATGGGGAGTACAATCGTAAAAAATTGTATTTCACGTAGGGAAGCGATTGATAAGGCTAATAGTCTGTAAGTTGTAAATTTAGGACATTTTTAGTTCAATAGAACGAAGTGTGGTATCAGGAAAGCCAGTGGCAAGAAAAATTATCCAACCCTTTTAAGGAAATTAGTCTATAAGCCTTTATGGATTGTAAAAAAGGGGGAATAAAATTTGGCCATAGTCAATTTCTAGTATTTTAGACTTACCAAATCCGGCTTTGGTCCACGTGGGACCTCTTCGACTTCGTCTTCGTCTACTCTGTGTTCTGTTGTTAATATAGGTTCATTTGGGTGCGGTTCCACATTATGTTCCTCTCCCTAAACGCAAACAAAACTAATTAATACAATATTTAAATATATGTAAAAAAAACCCAATGTATTCATATTTCTCTACTCTAGATTTGGCATATTAAGTTATTTTTTATCACAACTGTAATAGACTACCACAGCTTATAGGGCGTACAATTGTCAACAAATTTTATTTCACGTAGGGAAGTGATAGATAAAGCTACTAAACTGTAACCTGGAAATTTAGGATATTTTTAGTTCAATGTAACGCCAGCACTGTGCTATTACTGCCCTCATTATTTTTATAATGTATGACTGATTTCTGTACACAACTAATTTTTATGTCGACTAATAATAATACTAAGGACGAAGAAGATTAATAGTTTTCTGTTGAGTCTTTAACTAGGGATTGTGTTGGTTTCTCTTTAGGTTGAACATTTGATGTTCGCTTAATTGCATCATAATGCAGCAAAGTATGATGGCGAGCTGAACAAGTGCGACAGTTGCTTGACGAACAACTCTTTGTATTGTGGTTAGGTGACAAACAACTAAAACAGATGCGCGATCCCTTTGCTACTTCATATTATTCAGAAACCTTTATACTCCGGAACTTGTAACATCGATGAAACAAGTGATCACCGCGACATAATGGACATTGTGAGGGAGAACTTTGAGTAATAAACACAATTTATTCTTTGAGCCGGTAGATTTGTGCTCGTCGGATTTTCTGTTAAACACAACAAGTCCTCGCTGACCACTTTCAAACGCGTCAAGTAACCTAATACGAGAGTTGAGAAAAATTTCAAACTGGGAAAATGGAACTACATCAGTTGTGCCCAACGACCGTTCCCATTGTTGTAGAGTCAACTTGTCCAATTTGCTTAACGCTAGCTCAATCAATATTGCATGCCATTTATCTACTGCCTGACCAAGGTTGTTTAATGCTTGTCGATGCTTAATAGAGATGTTATAAAACAGTTTAGCGACACAGAACAGGAAGTATTGAACACAGGTGCCTTAACGGCTGTAAAATAGGCAATTTTATGTGCTCCGTGTAGCCTATTTTAAACGCCTTGAATAAACAAAAAAGAACCGAAGAATGTAATTTTTGTTAGGTTGAATTAAAAAAAAAAGCAGAAGTACAATTAATAATTTGTATTGTTTACCAGTGCCGAAACTACCGGGGGGCGGGCAGGGCGACGCCCTGCTAAAAGGGCACTATAAGATGAATTTTGGGGCACAATTTCTAACTTAGATACCTTCAGTCTAGGTCCTGATTAAAGAACAAAAGCAGTTATGAAAATAAATTTTTTTAAATATTTATCTATTTGTCAAACAGTTCTTATCGATTTTATAATAGTAGATATTTATAGTAGTTCTCTGAAAATCGATATGCAGCCTATTAACACTGATATTAGTGATTGCTCTGTAGTTAAACCATGGTTACAGTATTTAAAACTGTTAAGACTAACTGAGAAAGTGATAGTAAATTACTAGCAGATTTTAATCCAGTTCTACACCAGTTGTTAAATGAAGACAGCTATAAAATAAATAATAATATATACCTTTCAGGATACGCACAGTATTAGCTTAGTTCTACCCACGCGACCACTCTGAGGCCTGCAAGTTATAGAGACTACTATTTTTGGGGTGAACAGCAGTGTAGCGACTCAATACTGTGCATACCTGTTTTTCTCCGCAAGGAACAATTATTACAAACGCTAATGGCCGGCACGACAATCCTCAAACAATGAATCAACAACATTTGAAACCGACACGAACCTAACGACTAACCTAAAAATCAACAAACCAATTTAATATAATTTTACTGTACCCTGCTAGAACGACACCAACTTAACGTTCCCCGGACTCACTAACGCGTTGTTAGAGTTCAGCGTCTGATGATGAAAATTTATTTTAAACGTATTGGCGCCAGGGTAACTTTTAAGGGTAAAAATGTACTCTGTAGTAGTAAAATATAATTATTTTATAAGTGCTTAGACTTCTTGCAATATAAATTACCATAAGAGTTGAAAAAAAGTTGTAAAAAAATGCAAAAAGTCTTGGGTAGTGGAACCGGATTTGAACCAGTACCCCTCACTCCCGGGACCGATCACGCCCAACCGCACCACATATAGATTTGCGGGAGGGCAGTAAATAGGTCAATTTAAGATATATGAAAAAATGTGTACATTTCAAAGTAATTCTCCTTGTTAGAAAATGGCTGCTGTTTTTCGTTTACACAATCAGCCAATCAGAAGGTGCCATTTGAGCGCACGCACGTGATAGACGGGCGCGCGCCATTTTGTACGACAACATCAATTAATGTTGGGTATAATAAAATACGTTTAGATTTTTTTATTATTTCTGCACGGCATTTCTGCTAATAAAATAAAATGTAATAAACTCTAAATGTTAAACTTAATATTTGTACTACCTATTATTTTATTATACCAAATAGTAGATACATTTTTTGTAATTAGATCCGAAAAATAAATCTATAAAAATATCTTCTTATGTAAAATTATCTCTCTTATCTCTTGCAGATTAAAAGTTCTCAACCCGATCTAAAACGCTCGTAAATATATGAATATATATTCGTACATTCGTACCTAAATACAGGGGCGAAGGTGGTTCAGTAATATTTCCACTTAAGCATTGAACTAATCCCCCCCTCCCTTTTTAATATCACTGTTTATAAGTTATAGTCAATACTCGAGCCATTTTGTTGGATATGTCTAATCCACGATTGCGTTAAATGAAAGCGACGTCCGTTTATCTTCAACCGAGGCCAAATATTAATATTTCTGCGATTGTATTGATTCGGGCGCTGTTTGCATTTCATACCGACGATAAGAAGCTGGGCGCAGCTTGTAACATGTAACCTTTTTTAAACCAAATTATAAAACGGGGTGCAGTTTACCTAAAGCAAGGTAATTTGGGCGCAGTGGCGAAAAAACTCAATGGATAATCGTTTTCTTGCACCCGGACAGATCTCGGCTCGGACCCGACCTTAACACGTAAAGATTGTCAAGCGGAGTTGTGTGTGCGACCGTTTCCTTAAGTACGACAGTGAAATATTTTTTTAATTCATACGTACCGTCAATCGTGAGCTGCGCCACCAACCCACCGCATATTGCACCAAGCCGTAAGTTCCAGCTCCTGCCACGAACCCTCCGGCCACTAGCGCTGAATTTAACACCATCTTTTCCATATTTTCGCAAAATCAGTTGGATTCTTCAAGTCAATCAAACGGATAAGTTCTTGAGACTTGCTGACAAAAAATAACTGAATACTGTTATAAATAATAGATAACAACAATACCTAATAATAAACAATGATTTCTAAAAGCCAATTTAATTATTTATTCTATTCGGATAGCTTATAAATCATCTGGTAAAATTCCGAGCTTTTTAAATATCCAAAAATGTTTTTTTTTTTAATAGATTTCGTCTATTAACGAGAGTAATTGAGTCAACGGGTCGCAATAAAGATGCCGTGTTAGACTACAAGACCGAAAAAGGCCGATGGATAAATTAAAAAAATGGCCTCCTGCGAGATAGTGTCGTCGAACCAATACTCTTTAATGTGTCTATAAAAATGACCAGCCCATTATGGAAACTACTCGCCGTTTCCTGTATGCCGACGATTTAGCGATAACTGCGCAGGGCAAAACTTTCAGTGAAGTGGAACAGACACTCACACATGCGCTGGAGAAATTGGACAGATTCTATACACAGAACTCACTAAAACCCAACCCAGCGAAAACGGAAGTAAGTGTATTCCACCACAACCAAAACAGGCAAAACAAAATTGTATTTTACTCGTTTATTTTTGTATCGAAATTTCTGCAAAAATTCAAATTATTCCATGGTACTATTTAACGTGAAAAAAAAAACATTGGTTTAAATCATATGACATTGAAAAAAAAAGTAAAATCAATGTTTTTGAAAATAAATGCAGAAAGTTCAGAGTAATATGTCATAAGTACTACACTATACTCGTCACTTTTATATAAAAAAAACTGGTTCGGGTCGCGCGGGACACGCGTTTAGAACGAAGTCCCTTTCGTATGCAGGCTTGGCATATTTAATCATTAACGCGAATTAATAGTCCTACAACTTTACAGGTTGAATTCTAAAATAGTGCAATTATACAAAAAAAAATTTGTATTCAATCATCAGTACGAGTTGTATAATAAATGACGAAAAACCCAATGCAATGTAGGTTATCGAGTACTTTTAAGGGTAAAAATGTATTCTGTAGTATTAAAATATAAATATTTTATACGTTTTTAGACTTCTTGCGATATAAATTACCATAAAAATTGAAAAAAAAATTGTAAAGAAATGCTAAAAGTATTTTGTTGAGAGAGGAGTCGCCGGATTTGAACCCGGTACTATTTTTCTCCAAAGAACTGTTCATCCTCGACCGCACCACATTTCGATTATACAAGCAATTGTAAAATAGGTCTATTTAAGGATACACCAAAAGATATGTAAATTTGAAGTAAATCCGTCACGCCTTTACTGTGACCCCCCTTCGCAAACTTGTCAAACCGTGTACCGTGCACAAGCACGGTTGGGTGTACCTACCTATACACTTCTCTAAAAATATTGTTATGTTACTTACGTTTTGTCGACCTGTATTTGTTTCAAATCACTGTCGCTCGCATCACTCTCCATAGTTTTTTATATTACAATAACACACTGGCACATATACATATTTAAACTGAACTGAAAATACAGATTGCAAATTTAATGGCCGAGAACGTTAGCGTCAGAGAGTCAGTGTTTCAAGCATCTCAGTAGATAATTGTAAAATAATTTATTAATAATTATTTAATTTAAATAATTTGGGAATAGATTCTAAATGTATATAATAATTTTCTTATTATGCTATATGTTTTTCTCCGATGGTTTAACAAACATACGAGTATATCAATAATCACATTGTATTGAAGTTATAGTGTCACGTACGGTCAATGTAGGAATAAAAAATAAATATACATATCGACTGT